GGGTTGCGCAAATGGCACGAAGACATTAACGAGGATATGCAAAGAGTGAGTCGTATATCATCGGTCGGACGTTTAATTACACATCCCGGAGCGTCGCGGCGCCCTAATGTCCCTGGATCTCCTATCCGGCGACACAGCGCCGCGACCGATCTGCTCGGCCGAAATTCAAGCGACGCCGCAATTAAAACGGCCAACAATGCCCAACCGGGGGCTCAAAAATACTTCGGATTTAACTTTTAAAAAAAAAGAACACAAATTTGTCGACAAGAAACGACGCTTTAAGTCAAAATAATTTATCAAGTAGATTTTTTTCGGTGTATTGTGGGCTCAACGCTTTTTCCCGATCCGAAAACGTTGTTTCCTTTCTCATGCGGTGCGAACCCAATTGGTCGGTCGCCCAAAAGCTGAAAGTTGCTCGATAATCCGCGGGGGAGGGATTAGGAAACCCTTGCCAAATTGCCCCAAGCTTATCGACGTTTCTCAGACGGCGCTTCTGAAGTCGGAAGCTTTTGACCCCATTTGACTACGCGGGGCAAAAAATTGAATTGGAAGTAGAGATATGGGAGGGGACTGATCCATGCGTTATCAGTATAATCGACTTACCGCTAGAATTCGCCCCCTCCGAACGGTAAGCAGATTGTGTTCGATACGTCGGAAGGCCTGCCATGGTTTATTTATAATGTAATCTAGATTAAGACTCACTCAATACGCTCAGTTTAGTGTGTAATATCACTTCGTTTTCAATTTGATCTCCTTTGATTTGCCTTTGTTCGGACTTTGGAGTCAAATGATGCACAAATACACGGCTGAGTATGATGCTATGACTTATTTCCCTATTTTCTTTTTACTCGACACTTCAATACTTGAATCGCCTAAGAACGGGAAAAGAACTATGGTACCTAAAAAAAATCTGCAAATCCTATAGAATTAATGCAAAATAATTGTTTTGGTGGTTCTCACGCATACATAGACGTACATAAGAGTTGCGTACTTTATTTCTTCGTACTTTAATTTTTTCAATTCAAATAGATTTCTTTTTCTTTCTTTGTGTGACTTCATACGAAAATCCAGATTTTTAGGGGGCAATTTTTAGGGGCCACGTTGGTGCAGAGCCCTCATTTTTTAGGCACCTATTTGGCGCGTTGGCGCTTGTGAGTTTCGAACACTGCCCCTGAGGGCTCATACGGCGTTTTTGCATACACGGAAAAAAAAAATTGCTGATTCAACTATTCAATTGCTCAAAACAGTGAGCGCAATGTTTCAACGCAGATTTTACAGCAAAAAAATGCTACTTTAACCACATTGTAAACCAATTTAACCACGGGGGTGGTTAAAGTAGCATTTTTTTGTTGTAAAATCTGCGTTGAAACATTGCCCTCACTGTTTTTAGCAATTGAATTGTTGAATCAGCAATTTTTTCCCGTGTAGAACGGCAGGATTTCTCAACCCGTTTTCTTTCGTGGGTGCATCCCCGCATGCAGTGATTTTCCGGCGAGCGCAAGCGGTGGCGGCGCAGCAGATCATTAAGGGCGCTGCACTGGGCAAGGATCGAAGCCCCCCGCCTGGACGCGAGCCAATTTGCGCTCCGCTCCGTCGGCAGCCAGTATTGTTTCTTTTGCGTCAATAATCCGAAAAATTGCCGTCGCCATCCCTCCGCCTCGCATAAATCGGGCATAAATCGTCGCCCCGCCGTCGAAACAACCCAACTACACCCCCTCACAAGCTCCGTATGGTCTGAAAATCCCCACACTCCGGGTCCCGCGGAAGAAGAGCTTACGCGAGTTTCGGGCCGTTCGCATTTGATTCTCGTCTCGTTCTACGTTTCCGGGCCGCTTTTTTAATGCGCTCATGTCTCTTTTAACGAAGTATTCAATACTTTCGTCCCCCACCCCGTCCCCCCGATTACTCATTTTCTTGCTTCCTGTCTCGCGGAGCGTTGGCGCGGAGAAGCGTTCGTCTGAGGATACTGCTCCGGGTCCGTGGCGAAAATAGCGTAACTCCGTTTGGAAGGAGGTGGCGTTACGCGGTTTTGTTTTCCAGGGTGATGGAGATATTCTGCGTCCCTGGCGAGGCCTTCAGAGGTGGCGCATTACTCCGTGTATTAGGCCATCGTCAGTCAGGATCTCGGTAAATCCTGAGGCCGTTTTTGTGGGATCGAAGTGGGATCTTCAGAATGGTTAATCGATGTCCGTTTTCGAGTACTACGTGAAACCTTTTCCTCACGAAGGAACATAACTCCCTTACAAGATTGCAACATTGACTGGAATAATTCGATTTTTTAGAAGAATGTACCTGGATCTTTTTGTCCAAATACTGTGTGATTTTTGCAGGGGATTAGAAGAAAAATCAGTAAAATTTTCAGTCAGAGACATCTTGTGGGACTTTCGGGAAAAATGCAATCCGCGAGGGGAAATCTGGCAACATTGAAATGCAGTTACGTTCTTTCGCGAAAGAAACGACGAATTGAGCCTGTCGCTCTTTTTTGTGGCTTAATTTTTCATTATTTATACGCTCATTCGTTTCGGTTTCAGAATTGTTCGTGCGAGTATCTTTCAAACTTCTAAAAGTTTTTTTTTTTTTTTTTTTTTTTTTTTTTTTTGCAATCATGAAACTATCGCTAGACAACACAACCATCCACAAAGCTCTTCAGTTGTTTTTCAAACTATGCAGGAAAGAGTCGGACGGCTAGCATAGTTCGGCGCTGGATATTCACGTTTTACAGAAATTCAATTAGGATATTAAACATAAAAATGAGGGAAAGCTGCTGAGCATCATGAACCCTCACCCAGTCCATTTGAGAAGTTTTATGGCGATCGTTACTTGTTCGTAAAACCACTTTATTTCCGACGAAATTCGCCGCTCCGTCGGAAAATAAGGAGAAAAAACGAAAACTTGCGTGGAGGAGGGAAAGAAAGCAGTTCGTTAGACAATGAGCTAACCTAATTGGGAAGTCGTGCTTAATTTGATTAGGGTTTCTTCGACCCCCCCCCCCCCCCCCCCGCCCCCCGTCCCTTTGGAAGGCAGAGTAGATTGTACTCGCGGAGAATAAGGGAGCCGGGCCAGGGATCCTACGTCACTTTTTCTCTCCTAGCGGGGATCACAAAATGATGGCACTGCGATTTTATAATTAATCCTATCGCGTCTTCCTGCGCCCCTCTCCCCGCACATGCCTCTATTGGATATCTTTGTCGAGCTTATAATGGAAAAATTATTAACGTTGTCAGTCAGGATGGCGGATAAAATCATGGAGAAAAGAAGGTGGAAACTTTTTTGGGGGGGAAAAAATCCGGATTAGTCCCCCGGGTAACTTTAAATTAATCCGACGTGTATTTAGCCGTATCCGCGCGGTAAAATTTTGAGTTTTACGGATGCGGTTTTTGGAACGATCTCGCCTTTTGTCACCGATTCTCTCTTCGAAGCCGCATACTTGCTACGATAGCCCGCAACTAGAAAACTTGGAATGCGAATTTTGTCAAATTCAAACCTCAGTTTTGTCCTATCCAGAGACTCGAAAGCTGGAAAACAAAACGCGCCTTCTGACACATCATAGTGATCCGCGTAAGTTATACTGTCGTGCTACAGAGAAATTAACGGTCGGAGGAAACTTTTTTCTCAGTTCGGAAGAAAAATTTTCGACTTTATAGTAATTTTTATACCAAAAAAGCAGTCTTCATTTGAAGAAGATTTTATTTTATACTGTTAGGGGGGAAATGCGTGATCAGCATTTTTCTTTCAATCCAGATGAGGGGTTTTACCGTCCAAAGAAAAAATTTGTCATCGATGTAAAAATTTACTTTTCTGTCTATATTATATTAAATTTCTTTACAATTTACGTTCCATTCGGATTGGAAAACAATTTTCTCCCTTTAAAAAATTAAATTCTTCGCTAGAAATACTCTTTTTCAAACAGAAGATCATTTCATTTTAACTCTCCAGATGCTACTAGGTAAATAAAAAATAAATTAAATGTAAAAAAAATCCGACAGTGGGAAAGATATTTTTTTCAATAATTTGTCTTTCGGAGCGAGCAAAGGGCTCCATAAAATATGGGTTTCCCATCCGGAGCCCCGGTCGTGGATTCAATTGGCAACAATGACCTGTAAGTCTTCCTTTCCGGGGTCCCGGGCGGGGCAGTTGGCAGCCAT